TGGCCAGCAGGAGCTTTGTGCAAGCTAATCAAGCTGACCGTCCCATTCTTAATCAACTGGAGTAGAGTCTTGGCAGAGATCTGTGCATGAAACACCACAACTGCATGCAGAGGCATAATGAGGGTCCATTAAATTCTCATCCCTCGTGACATGAAAAAAAAAAGAAAATCAATACATTTCCTGTTTTTGCATCTCAGCATAGCATGTTATTTTGTAGAGCGAATACCTGATTTATGCAGCCTAGCAGACATGCTAATGTTTTAAGGTTAATCAAAGTTCCAGTGACAGATCGATGCTATTATTACATGCTCAGCAACCTTTCTTAATGATGCATTGCTTTTGTACATGCCATCATTTGACCAAGTAGAAGTTAGTTAGATTTTATTGCTCCTTTCACATGTCCTCATTATTAGTTGAGTGGAATGGGCCATCGTTAACAGTAAATGTGAACAGATCCAGCAGGATCTATGGATAATCCATATATACCGTATATTAATATAAACCAAAAAGATTTGATTGAATAAATCCTAGAGTATGGAACATGTTTTATTTTTATCCTCTAAGCTGTTTGTTTTTTGCTTTTCATTTTTCATTAGGGATTCAGTTTAGTATTAGTAAAGTACTTAGTAGAGTATAGTATGGACCATTGTCAAAAGTACCAGATTAGCGAACTATAGCACTTTTTTGCGACCCTTTCATAAGGGTACCTAGCACAAAACTACGGTACAAAAAGGGTGAATCCTCTATTGCTGTTTATGGAGCCATTCAGATGTTGCAATTAAATAAGTGGAAAGCATTTCTCTCTGTTTCTCTATTTCAACATAGTCAAAAATGTACACGGGACCCTCTAGTGGATTTGTAATAAAACAAAAACTGCAAGACAACCTAGTCCAGGGTACATATTTATCAGTTCTCAAAAATGCAGTCCTGTGCACATATTTCCAATAAGCATGGGTTGACATCTATAAAGCATGAGCACTGTTGGCAGTAGAAATGCAAGCCTAATTAGGGGGACCCGTACCGAATTACATTGTAGTGTACTGAACTGTATTGTATGGAGCATGTTTCGTATTTGTGATGTACACAACAGGCTGAATATTACAATTTTAAACCTGTTTATTTCCAATTGTAGTCCCTGTACTTTCTGAAATTCTCAGACCAGCCCTTATGTCTTTAAAAACATTGAACAACAACCAAGAGTAGTGAACTTCAAGGATTACTGGACACCACCGACTTCCACTTCTTTAATGGTATCCAGTGACTTCCACAGTATTTTTTTAGCCCTACTAAGCAAGCCAACGGTGACCATCAACTGCTCAAATATCAACATTTCTCAAAATATATATTTTTTAATCAACAGAAGAAAGTCATACAGGAAGAAGTGGAGGGTGAGAAATCGATGACAAAATATTTATTCTGGAAGTGAACTGCTCCTTTAAATTGGGTGCTTGGTTTAAATTTCAGCTCATTTTGACCCATGTCATATTTCTGCAATTTGATTGACCTCGTGATTAGTTATTATCTGTATTTATTTAACATTTACATGGTTTGCTCCTCATCAGTGTGAAGTCCTCCCAAAGAATGTATGCTAATATCGTTCAAATCTACACTCTATAAAGGGAGTTTCCAACCTTTATTCAAGCCCTGTCAAAGTATAAAATATACAGGTATTAAAATAAACAGAGCTGTTTTTGCCTTGAAAATAAGAACTATGTTTTGACAATAGTCATTAGGTGGTCATTCTAATCCTCCACAAGGAAAGGAAAGGGTGCAACCAAAAACAAACCCAGTCCAAGATGCCTTTTGATGTCAAAGAAAACCACATAAAGAAACAGGAGACCCTTATAATGCTGTTCTCACACAACCATTTCAGTGCCACAGTCCTTGTTTATCTTCGGTGAGAACAAAATGTAAAATCTGAGCAAGTTCAGAGGCAGAATTCATGAGTCTCATTGTTTCCCCAGCATAATCGCTCATTGAAGACACTTTTTAATGAAGGGCTTTGTGAGCCAAGTGTACAAGTCAGGTGAGTCTCAACAAAAGCTTTGCAACACGATCCAGCCCTCACATTCTAAGCTCAGTTGTTTGCCTCAGAAAAAAAAAATGTCATCAAATGCATAGTATCAAAGAGTCAGATAAACCCAGTCGACCTCTGCTGTGGTGGAGCCTAGCAAATGCTGCCTTGAGAACAAGTGGAGCACATGCTGACAGAATAAGAATCTGAATTTGCAAAGATGAAAGTCATGTTTAAGCATTCCTAGACGGACCGTGACTGTGTATGTGCACGAGGATCAAAGCCTCGCCTGCAGTGCCGGGCTGATGGAGGTCCCGGTGTTAATGGGGACAAGGAAGAGCTCTGGGCTTTGATGGAGAGCTTCTGCCTGATCCCTCGCCGCTGCTGTATTGTCAGAAGGTCTGTGGATCAGGCTACAGTCTCACTATATGGAGTGCTGTTGCATCATGCTGGTCACACAGGTGTAAATAAAAAAAGCTCTTCAACTCTTCTTTAGACAGGTGATCTCATGAGGCAAGATTAGACTGTATTTTCATACAAAACAAAATGGTGTGACGAGTCTTAACTCTGGTGTGTTTTACTGTTATTACAGGTTAAAGCAGTTTAAAGATAGAGCTTCTGTCATTATTTACCTATTCTCATGTAATAACAGATCCACTCAGCTTTAATTCATCTTTACAACAAAAATGAAGTTATTTGATGGAACAACATGAGTGTGAGCAAATGATGGTAGAATTTATTGCAATTTCATTGGTTTCGTTCATTATAGGCAACTACTAATAAGACATTTGTGTTCTTTTCAAAAAAGTGTGTCAGAGCTGTTTCGTTTTGTTTGGGCCTCATTCGTTAATATTTTTTAAACAGTAAGGTTATTTACATATGTAATCAAATGTACTCACACATTTCCATCACAATTATAAAAAGCAGATATATATTTGGGGTGACATGGTGGCTCAGTGGTTAGCACAATCGCCTTGCAAGACGGATCTCCCCTTGTTTCCTCCTGATGCTCTGGTTTTCCCCCACAGTCCAAACACATGTGGTATAGGTGAACTGAATAAACTAAAAAGATCATAATGTATGTGAATGAGTGTGTGTATGGGTGTTTCCTAGTAGTGAGTTACAGCTGCCTGGGCATCCGCTGCATAAAACATTCATTCATTTTCTTTTCGGCTTAGTCCCTTTATTAATCAGGGGTTGCCACCGCGCCAACTGCCAACTTATCCAGCATATGTTTTACACAGCAGATGCCCTTCCAGCTGCAACCCATCACTGGGAAACATTCACACACACTCATACACTACTGTCAATTTTAGCAAAACCAATTGTACCAATTGTAAGACATGTACCACATGTCTTTGGACTTGTGGGGAAATCCGGCGCACCCGGAGGAAACCCACACGAACACAGGGAGAACATGCAAACTCCACACAGAAATGCCAACTGAGCCAGTCGAGGCTTGAACCAGCGACCTTCTTGCTGTGAGGCAAACATGCTACCCACTGCGCCACTGCATTACACCCTGTGTAAAACATTTCCTAGATAAGTTGGTGAGTCATTCTGTTATGGCGATCACTGATGAATAAAAGGACTAAGCCGAAGGAAAATTAATGAATGACATAAATGTTCTTATGTTCATTTTAATATTGTTGTTGTTCAGTTTGTTGTTTCAACTGGTTTAAAACTAATTTGAAAATCTAAAATGATTATGCTAATTATTTCTGCATGAAAATCCTTGTGCACAGCACAGATGTAATAGTTAGTAGATGAGCATTTGGTGGCTCTGTTTAGGCAGGCAAAACAAATTGTCAGAACAATGTGGAAAAGTCTGGAAACTGTCGACACAATCACACATAAAAGCTTTAAGCTCAGTTTTTCCATTTTACTGTAAACCCTAACAGTACAATAAAAATAAACCTATAACTATATTTTAATCAAATGTTACCAAAGTTTTAGGTGAAAAAAAGTTCTCGATAACTAATTTAATGAAGCAGATAGTTTCAGCATGCTTTGCTTTCATCTGTTAAAAGATAGAAAATGTTCAAATTTTAAGTGTTATTAAGTGTTCTTTTATTCTGGAATTAGAGAAGCCTAATAGAGAATAAGAGTGTGTCTGAAATCACAGTTTGTTTTGGGAAGTGACAGAATAGTCTAAAATGATTCTAAAAACAATTCAAAGTGGAGATTGATGCACATTAATGGTGGAAATTGCCCACAAATCCTCTGCACTGGATTCAGAGCATAAGTCTAAAATACAAACATGGTGGATGTGTGTTATGATTTTTTTAGATATTTCAGGTTTAGATAGGGTCTAAGTGAGTAATAATTAACATATCTTTGTTATTATTATAAACATACACATTTTTACATAAAAAAAACATATAAATATTAAAATTTGATCTGCAACAACAGCGTAAACCTTTAAAAAGATTTTTTAAATTTTATCAAAAAATAAGAGCAGAGTTTGGGGCATGAAAGTCCCAAGAAAGACTTATCTGAGGCATATCATTCTGCTGAAGAGCAGATACAGTGAACAGGTCAATGACAGGCCAAATAATTCCATTAAAACTGTATGCTGCTTTACTTAAAAATCAATGGCTGCGCACGCTTAAGCACAGTATTATTGTCTTTTTGCTAATCACTTAAAGTACCTCTGTTTCTACCAGTTTCCTCAGTTGGTTTGACCATCACATACTCTAATTGAGTTACCTTAATTAGGATTTACAGCACACACACTTAATGAGAACTCATTTAAAACGTTTTACAGTTAAACACTGTTTAAGTTCACGGTTCAAATATATTGTGAAAGGTGTGATTTACAGAAGGTATATATGATATATTTCAAGTCTGGCTGTCAAAAACTAGTGGTGGGAAAATATCAGTGATGTTTTCTGCCTCGGGGCAATTAGCTAGCAACTAGTTCCAAAAATCAATGCTTCCTGTTTCCTACAGGATATAACATGAGAAAACAGAGGAGAGAACATACCCGTTGTTTGGTGACGTGCCTCAGTCCGATGTGTGGCTGACTCCTGCACTGTGGAGGGAACAAACAGAGATTTTATTTCTCTGGTGCACAAACAGAAACACATTTTTTGCTTGATATAATTGATTTTTTTGCTTTCTCCCTCACCACAAATACTTCAGAGAATAGTGAATTTTAACACAACTGATATATAAACTGAGTGACAGCTACTTAAATTAACATGGCATTGAACAGCTATTCTAAACACAATTTTAGAAATCCAATAATCTCAGCCTTGGAGAGGGTCCGGGATTCAACAGAAATAAAAAAAAAAACAATTGTGTCAGCTCATTTTAAACTTAATTGTTTGCATCATCATAAAGATTCAGTCCTATTTGTGAAGGCTGGCAGAGAGTCAGCAAGTGAATAGAGCTAATTTTTGTCTGACTTCTCTGTTTAAAAAAAAAACTTAACTCACCATTTTACCTATTTAAAGAGGTGTTAAATTAACAAGGCAGTAGAGCAAAATCTTCTGTATAATAAGCACATAAGTCTAAATAATGCAATCTATCTAACCCATTTCAAAACATTTCCATGCACAGGAGGTTGACAAATTGATTGGCAAGCTGATTATTCTGACTGATTTTTACCATTTTCAAATAATTTGGATCGGTGCAGCACATTTATAACCAGCTAAAAGGTATTTAAGTAATTTTATTTATTATATTTTATCACTTAATTTTTTTTTACCCTTTTTTTAACTAAAAAGAAAATCAGCTGAACATATTGGCCAAAAAAATCTGCATCATATAATATAAATGGACTGCCCTAATTTCTAATTATTGGTATCTGCATCAGCTAGAGGAAAACCCATATGGTACCTCCAGCATTTACTGATTTAGTAAACTTCAAAAACATAGAAACCACACTCACACTTCTCAAACTTGTGACTATATATATATATATATATATATATATATATATATATATATATATATATATATATGAAGAGTTCCGATGCAAAAACCTCTAAGTGCCATCTGAAATTTTCTTCTAAAATAAGCATTTTTCTCAGCCTCTTATGTTTATGTTTAGTTATTTTTGTTAAAAGTGATGAAAATAATCTATTCTTTGCCATAAAAGAGAAATTAATGAATCAAGACAAAGAAACCTGAGAAAAATGGTAATATTAGAAGAACATTTCAAATGGCACCGAGAGGTATATATATATATATATATATATATATATATATATATATATATATATATATATATATATATATATATATATATATATATATATATTTATTTTTTTTACAGTGTATATAAACACAGGTGCCTATTGTTGAGTAATTCAGCTGCTGGGTCAAATTCACTGACATATAAATACAAATGATAAACAACTGCACACATTTACCCAGAGTTGGATAGTCTCTGTCAAACAAAAAAAAAAAAAACATTTTCAGAAATGTGTCAAGAGTTTTGTGAGCTGTTCTGAGAGAAAACTTCTTATGGTGATCTAGCGGTATTTTTATTACTGCAGAAACACAAACCACCTTTACTGACACCTTTATCCCTCATTATACATTATAATTTTATGCTACAGTTAATATCTGCTTGGAACAGTAGTTTAACACAGCATGTCAAAAACAACCTAGAAAATGGGTTAAAATTCAGCAAGCTGAATCAAAATAACCCATCATGTGTTCTGTCCACCATTGGGTTGCCAAATATCCAAGGGCTGTTTTTTGTTTGCTGGTTTGGAGAGTAGGAAACGCACTCCAGTTGTAGACAATATGTGCTCTAAAATAAGCTCTGAGGACATCAAACATGTCTGAAAGCAATCATACACTATACATGACTTTCTGTCAGAGCTGTCAACTCTGATTGCCCGGTTCATCAGAGAATGCAGACTTTTTGAAAACGTGACAACAAAGCAAACAAGCTTGCTTTTCTTTCCAAAGACGAGTCTGATAAACAGTCTGTCACTGCTCTGAGGTTGTGCTTCACCAGCTGCATAAACACATACAAAAATACCTGAACTGACTCAAATCATGACACCTCCTCTAAAAACAAATCCTTGTTTTCTTACACACCCACACTTGTATACATGGTTTACAGACTCTGGACAGGCATAATGTATTTTATACTGCAAAAAAAAAACACTTATTATATGTCCCTAAGCCACCCCTACACTTATACTCGTTATTTCAAAAGACCTCATTAAGTATGATTTTTAATAACATGGACACAAGTCATCACCCTGTATTTTTAAATAATGCCCAGGGCCGGACTCAATCTGCACTTTTTTTGCTATGTCTGTGTTGAATTTTATAAAAATAATAAAAATCAGCAGATTTATGCATAATGATTTTAAGTATAGTAACTAAAAACATCAAATAACAAAATAATACATTTTTTACTTTTATTTAAGGTTTACAAATATTTTTTGTTGTTTGTCTAAACTACTTTTTTAAAATGAGCTTAAACAACACAAATCCTGAGATTTCTTTGGGAAAACTTAATTGTTTTAGGTTTTTTATTTGTAAAAAGTAATAACTTAATTTGTTTATGTTGTCCCAACACAAATCGAATGTGTGGAACCCAGCGTTGTTCTGCATTTTGCAAATGCAATTAGGACCACTTTATTGGTAAACAAATCTACAAAAATACAGAAAATAATACTTTACAAACTGTTTTGTAATTAGATCATATACAAATATGCTTATAAGTTAATAACATTACTAAAATTAATACAAAAACTGAGATTCAAATTTACACACATTTGCGCAAGTAAATAGACCGATTTAATGATGGGCTAAAAAAATCTGCTGATTTCTGAGCATGCATTCTGTGTGGGCCTAGTCAGGGATGAGCAGTATTTAAGATACATTTATTTCAATTATGTATTTTAAATACAAAATAGTATTTTGTAATTTGTATTTGATAGGGTTGATGAAAAAAGTCAGAACAGAAAACTGACTAAAAAGGTCAATGGTTGAAGTATTGATAGAAATTATGCACACATAATGAAAATAATGAAAATAACAGACAAATGGCATATTTGGAGCAAGTCAACAATCATTGAAAATAATTTACTGGTTAATGCTAAGACCAGTAATATAATATGGCTGCATAATGTACAATTCAGCATCAGCATCTTTGCTTTGAGAAGGAATTGAGGAATTGAGGAGGAATAAAGTAATTAAGAACAGGATATGGAGCCTTCAGCACATAATCATTTTCAGTCTCAGTGCTGCGGGTGAAAATGTGGAGGATTTTCAAGACTCCCGTTATACAGCAGCAGTAGGATGTATATGAAGAGTTTAGTGCAAAAAGAGATAACTTAAGTTTTTAGAGAAATCATTGTCATTTGTTTGTGCATTAAAGAGTACAACTGCAAAAAAAACAAAAACATGATTGATGGAAATGACTAAAACTGGAGATTTTAGTAGTTTTCAGACTACTAAAATTCTTTAAGACATCTTTTTTACATTAAGTAATAAAGATTTCAGTTGCAAAAAACATTTATTTAAACATTTATTAAACAAAAAATAAAATAGCCTCTTCATACATCCTTTTTAAATATAGGATTTAAGTATAAGTTAAGAAATTGTTGCATTTCACTGGCTACGCTGTGGATGGAAACACAATAAGGAGATATAGTGCTCCAACTCATTATCTGCAATAGATAGTTTTTGCAGTGATTAAAGAGATTGTCTTCAAGACAGGACTTTCTGTATGAAATCTGTACAAAATGTATGCTAAAATGAAAGAGTAAGTCAGTTAAATGGTGAAGGGATTGATTATATATGCCTATGGAGGGTTTGTGAAGAAATGTCATGCTCCCTTGTAAAAGTATTTTGTATTTAAACAAACTACAGTATACTTTGATACATTTGTGGCTGCTGTATTTTGTAGTTTATTTTGATGGACCACATGGACCTGTACACACACACAAACACACACACATGCAATCACACAAACCACTCTTACTGTCTCACCCAGTTCATCTCTAAAGCCAAGATTTAAACACTGACCTGAATCAGACACCACTTTATTGCCTGGACAAAGCAATTACCAGGGAATGAGGTCTGAGTGAATGTATTCAGCTGACGCAGAGACACAACACTGGGCCTGGACTAACAACACCTGCTCCAGCCAATCAAACATGATGAACCTTTCCAGAAGAGCTGAAACGTAAATGTAGCTAATAGCCAATTATAAAATGGAAAATGAATCATTATGAACCAAATCAGCAAAGAAAACTGTTGCCCATGTAATTGCATCAGCACACTCAATGCCTGAGACTCATGCACAAATCAAGAGAGAGGACAGACAATGCAATGGCTACCAGAGACCACGTCACATAAGTGTTCTTCATTATGAGGGAGCCCGGTTGCCTAGTTACCACAGCAGCCAGACACGTGCATGATTTCTGATGCTCCTTTATGACTGCTGTCTGAATGACTGAGCTCCTCCACAACACGAGTCTGTTTGTTTGTGTTTGTGTGGGAGCTAAGATCATGACATGAGACACAGAACCTTCTTCAGGTGCACAGATGTCTACAGATTGTCACTTCATGTGTTCTTACTGACCAGATAGCCATTCACTTTGAGCACTTGGCAACATGCATTTGTTTCAAATTCAGTTAATTAGTTCTAGTCTTCGTATATTACATGCAAATATCCATCAAAAGCAAGACATGTGTGCTACACTTTATTTATTTACTGTTTTTGTTTATTTTCTTTTCGGCTTAATCTCTTTATTAATCTGGGGTCGTCACAGCGGAATGAACTGCCAACTTATCCGCCATATGTTTTACACAGTGGATGCCCTTCCAGCTGCAACCTGTTACTGGGAAACACCCATATACATTAATTCACACACATGGACAGTTTATTTCACCCAATTCACCTATAGCGCATGTCTTTGGACTGTGGGAGTAACCGAAACACCCGAAGAAAACCCACACGAACACGAGGAGAACATGCAAACTCCACTCAGAAATGCCATCTAACCCAGCCGAGGCTCGAACCAGAGACTTTCTTGCTGTGAGGCGATCGTGCCA